AAAAAAAAATCTACAAATTAACATGGAGACACAAATGTAAATAAAGATAAATTCGAAATATCTCCCTTAAGCCCAGTTCATTTGGGTTTTGAAGGGGTACATAGGCTACCATACGACATCGTGATGCTAAGGAATAAGTTTGTCTAGGTAAAGGAGAAAAACAAAACAGCATTACTTACTGATTTAGAAAGTATCTGGTAATGCCTGATAAGCATCAAGGAATGTACAATGAAAAAACAGGATAGAAGCCAGCCCTGCCTTCACGGATCATTCTCTTGAAGAAAAGAGAGAATCTCAAAAAAAAAAAAAAAATGTCCAGAGATGGATATTTTGATCATCACCCAGGGATGGCCATTGAGACTTTGTGTCCCTCCTTTTGAGGAACTGATAAGAAAGTCCTAGTTTTTGATGAAGGATAGTTGTGTCTTGTTAAGTAAAAACACAATGTTGTTAACGGTTCTTGTATGGAAGTTTCAGGATCTATATAAGGGTATATACAAATGCTGAGTAGCCAGACAGGAGAACTGTACTGGTTACTGAGCTACTGTCCCGCAGATCCAAATTCATCTTTCCATTTTGGGGTTTGTTTGTTTTGAGACATGGTCTTGCCTAGGCTGGGGCGCACAGTGCCACAGCTCCCTACAGCCTTGAACTCCTGGGCTCAAGCAATCCTCCTGCCTCACACATCCCAAGAAGCTGGGACTACAGGCATGCACCACCACAAATGGCTAATTTTTTAAATTATTATTTTTGTAGAGATGGGGTCTTGCTATATTGTCCAGGCTAGTCTCAAACTCCTTGGCCTCAAGCTCTCCTCCTGCCTCAGCCTCCCAAAGTACTGGAATTACAGCTGTGAGCCATTGCACCTGGCCCAAATCCACCTTTCTATGCTCTACTTTGTGAGCATAGAAGGCAGAATCTCTGGGGCCAGGCACAGTGGCTCACACCTGTAATCCCAACACTTTGGGAGGTTGAGGTGGGTGGATCACCTGAGGTAAAGAGTCTGAGAGCAGCCTGGCCAACATGGTGAAACCCTGTCTCTACTAAAAATACAGCAAATTAGTTGGGCATGGTGGTGGGCACCTCTAATCCCAGCTACTCAGGAGACTGAGGCAAGAGAGTCGCTTGAACCTGGGAGGTGGAGGAGGTTGCAGTGTTCCGAAATCACACCATTGCACTCCAGCCTGGGAAACATGAGTGAAACTCTGTCTCCAACAAAAAAAAAAAAAAAAAAGAAGGCAGGAAGGATCTCTATCACCATATTTCTCCTTTGACAGCTGGCTCCCTGATAAATGCTGCCAATGAGGAGGAAGGTGCTAGAGGGAAACTGAGGAAGGAGAAACTTACTCCTATTTGGTTGCTGTTCCAGTCAGGCTCACCTAACTCTTCACCCTGATAGTAGTCATTAATTCCAAGATCCAGCTTTTCTTTTTCATACACCCAGAACCATGCTTCATCCGCTGTATCAGAACCAGCTGGCTATGATGTCATCTACTATATTCCATAGAAATCTGGGTTCCCTATAGGGCTGAAGGTCTTCCCTCTGAGCTCCTTAGTGCCAGGAAAGCTGGTGGTAGCTAATTCCCACAGTTCAATCTCCCTGGAACCTCAGCATTCCCTTGTCTCTTCTATTCTTCAGTATTTGCTTAACCAATCCTTTTCATTTACTTATATCTGTTAAAATAAGATATGATTTCTGTTTTCCTGACCAAATCCTAACTGATAACTGCAGAAAGCCCCTGTCATGCTTCTCAGGAAATGAGGAAGCACTCCTTTAAATCCAAGCTGAATTCTTGGGGCTCTGTGGTAATGCTACAAACTGAATGTTTATGTCACCCCCAAATTCATGTTGAAATCTCAACCCCCAGTGTGATGGGATTAGGAGGTGGGCCTTTGCGAAGCAATTAGGTCATGTGTCATCCTTATAAAGGAGACCCCAGATAACTCATTCCCCCTCTTCTGCCATGTGAGGCCACAGTGAGGAGGTTGCTGTCTATGAAGAGAGGCCTCAGCAGACACGGAATCTGCCAGCACCTTGATCTTGAGCTTCCTAAGCCTCTGGAATTGTGAAAAATAAATGTCTGGGTTTTTTTTCTTTCCACCTAAGTTGAGTAAAAAATGTCTGTTATTTATAAGCCACCCAGTTTGATTTTTTTTTGAGACGGAGTCTCACTCTGTCACCAGGCTACAGTACAGTGGTGCAATCTTGGCTCACTGCAACCTCCGCCTCCTGGGTCCAAGCAATTCTCCTGCCTCAGCCTCCCAAGTAGCTGGGACTACAGGCGCGTGCCGCCATGCCCAGCTAATTTTTCTATTTTTAGTAGAGATGGGGTTTCACCATGTTGGCTGGGATGGTCTTGATCTCTTAACCTTGTGATCCGCCCGCCTTGGCCTCCCAAAGTGTTGGGATTACAGGTGTGCACCACTGCGCGCAGCCCAGCCTGATTTTTTAATAGCAGCCTGAAAGTTGAAAACAGAAAACATAACATAATGCAAAAATAGTATATTTAAAATGTTTACCCATTTTCCAAGCAGGGCTCTTCTTTCTTCAAATACCTACAATAAGGAAAAAAAATATGGTAATTTCATATATCTTGTAATACCCATTACAAGAAAGACATCATTACAGGATCTGTGAATAAACCTTCATTTTAACAACTGAATATAAAAAGACAGATTTCACTCCTGAGGTTATGTATTTTTACCCTGGACAAGGTTTCCCTTTTTTTTTCTTTCAGTTTCTACACGTGGAATAATTCACATGAAAGAAGTAATAACGCTGGGTGCAGTGGCTCACGCCTGGAATCCTGGCACTTTGGGAGGCTGAGGCGGCTGATCATTTGAGCTCGGGAGTTTGAGAGCAGCCTGGGAAACATGGCAGGACTCCATCTCTACAAAAATTAGCTAGGCATGGTGGTATGTCCTTACAGTCCCAGCTGAGGCTAAAGTGGGAGGATCGCTTGAAACCAGGAAGTTGAGACTGTAGTGAGCTATGATCGCGTCACTACTTCTAACCTGCAAGACAGACCCAGATCCTGTCTCAGAAAAAGGAAGCGGAAGGGGAGGGGGAGGGGTCATTTTTTAAAGGGAAATAAATTTTAAAAATGGAATTATAGCCAGGCGTGGTGGCTCACACCTGTAATCCCACAACGCTCGAAGGCCGAGGCAGACAGATCACCTGAGGTCAGGAGTTTTGAGACCAGCTTGATCAATATGGAGAGATCCCATCTCTACTGAAAATATAAAATTAGCTGGGCATGGTGGCGCAAGCCTGTAAACCCAGCTACTCGGGAGGCTGAAGCAGGAGAATCGCTTGAACTCAGGAGGCGGAGGTTGCAGTGAGCCAAGATCGTGCCATTGCACAGTAGCCTGGGCAACAAGAGTGAAACTCCATCTCAAAAAATAAGTAAATAAACAAAATAAAAATAAATAAAAATTGAATTATAAAGAGAAATCAATTTTAGAATTTGAAAGATGAAAAAAACAAAAAAACAGGAATATGAAGCTCCCCCATCTGAAATGTTTCAATATTAATGATATAAGAATTTACAAAATAGATGAATGATCAATGCTGTTTTTATTTATTTTTTTCTCTTTTTGAGATGGAGTCTCGCTCTGTTGCCCAGGCTAGAGTACAGTGGTGTGATCTCAGCTCGCTGCAACCTCCACCTCCTGGCTTCAAGTGATTCTTCTGCCTCAGCCTCCTGAGTAACTGGGATCACAGGCGTGTGCTACCACACCCAGCTAAGTTTTGTATTTTTAGTAGAGACAGGTTTTCACCATGTTGGCCAGGCTGGTTTCAAACTCCTGACCTCAGGTGATCCGCCTGCCTTGGCCTCACAAAGTGCTAGGATTACAGGCATGAGCCACCAAGCCTGGCCCAGTTCTGTTTTTCTGTTTCAGTGTGTATACATATCAGTGGGCACACAAGTACGTACATGTCTGTAGGATTAGAAATGTGTGCGTGTATGCCTCTGGGGTTTCACTTGAATATTTATTGGTACAGGTTTATTTATTTTTTTTGTTATTTTCTATTTCTTTTTTCTTTTTCTGGGTACAGGTTTATTATGACATGCTATTTGGGACAGCAGGTAAGCCTTATTCATCTTGGTATTTCCAGAAGAGTGCTTACAGAGCATGTTACAGGTATCTGTGTTTACTGAATTGAATGAATGTGATTGTGAGAATGAATATCCTTATGGCTGTGTCAGTACAATGTGAGTATCTTTATATATTGGAGTCAAGGTACTTTTCTGAGCGTCAGCGCATATGTATATTTCAGTGAGGAAAGGCAGACTAAAGTGGGTATATGTGACAGAGAAGGGGGTTATTAAGGGAGGAGGAGAAAGAGCATATGTGAATGTCTTACTTGCTTTATTCCATACTCCCTCCGTCAGCTTTCAAAATCGGGATGGATGTTTCTCCCTTCCTCTTGGCACTCGCTACCTTCTCCAGTGCTGTAAGAATGTTCTCACTTGGAGAGGTGGCTCAGACCTATTTCTTCTCTTTTCATGGAGGAGGCTGAGGAGCTGGTTTTATGCTTCCCACAGATCATGCTTTCCTCCCTTTTTTAACTCTCAAACTCTGGTTGCCAAGGACATATGAAATAGGAATTGAAATAATTGGTTCAATCTCCACCTTGGGACCAGTGAAAGGTCAGTTTTGCTCTTGGCCAGGGAATCTCTTCAGTCACAGACAGACACTTTTTGCACATAAGAGAAGATGAAAAAGACCCTTCCCCCAACTAACTGCCACCTGGGCTACGAGGACCCTCAAATAATGGCGATGGATAAACTCAGAATCTCTAGATGAAAAAAAGTAGAAGAGAATCTGTAGAACCCAGAAGATTCAAAATAACTGGATTCAAATATTGTCTGAATTCTCTATCAGTCATGCATCACCCAACCCAAGCAACCAGAGCTGTTTCTTTTCTGATGCCCGGGGATTTCTGCCTCCCAACTCCTACTCCATTTATAGTTCATGCTTCACTTAGACTCTATAGTGTTTGTTTTGCTCTCTAGTGGTTTCTGTTAATTTTATCTTCCCAAGTAGATCACAACCACTTTCTCTTACATGTTCCACAGAACCCTCAAGTACAGAGTCCATGGAAGACTCTCAACAAACCATTTTGCTGAATGACTACTAACAACAACAAAAAAGCTTCAGAAGTCATAGAATTTTAGAGCTGAAATGAATCCTAAAGGTCTTTTTGTTCGATTCCTATACTTTAGAGAGGATAAGCAGAGGCCCAAAAAGGTTAGATAGTTTAAAAATCGCTTGGTCTAGGTTGCACGCGGTGGCTCACGCCTACAACCCCAGAACTTTGGGAGGCCAAGGCGCGTGGATCGTGAGGTCAGGAGATCGAGACCATCCTGGCTAACACGATGAAACCGTGTCTCTACTAAAACTACAAAAAATTAGCCAGGGGTACTGGTGTGCGCCTATAATCCCAGCTACTTGGGAGACTGCGGCAGGAGAATCACTTGAACCCAGGAGGCGGGGTTGCAGTGAGCTGAGATTGCACCACTACACTCCAGTCAGGGCGACAGAGTGAGACTCTGTCTCAAACAAATAAAAAAATAGGCTGGGCAAGGTGGCTCACGCCTATAATCCAAGCACTTTGGGAGGCCGAGGCAGGTGCATCACAAGGTCAAGAGATCGAGACCATCCTGGTCAACATGGTGAAACCCATCTCTACTAAAAATACAAAAATTATCTGGGCACGGTGGTACATGCCTATAGTCCCAGCTACTCAGGAGGCTGAGGCAGGAGAAATGCTTGAACCCAGGAGGCAGAGGTTGTGGTGAGCCAAGATCACGCCACTGCACTCCAGCCTGGGTGACAAGGACGAAAAACCACCTAAAAAAAAAAAAAATTAAAAATAAAAACATAAAAAATTGCTGGGTCCAAACTATACGTTCAGCTCAATAGTGCACATGGTGTCCAATGATGGTGTGGCCCATTGGAAACAAAAGGAAACTGACTTGAAGGCAAAGAGACAGTCAACAAGAATGTAGCAGAAAAGTTATGTGGTGGGAGGTGAGAAGTGCTATGCAGGCTAAATGGCGAGGCAAAGTCTAAGCTCTTTACCAGAAGGCATCTAGACTCAAGAGGAAACTGATGGGACAGAACAGGTAGAGGAAAGACACTAGACTGAAAGTCAGGAGACCTTGGATCTGGTTCTGACTTCTGCCCTTGACAAGACATATCATTGTGGGCAGATGATTTTGTCATCAGGTTCTCAGCTGGACTTGTAGTCTTATATACCCTGGTTTGGAGCAAGTCTTTATTTCAAAGATTTGCAATCAGGTTCTTCATTTTATCTATCTATGTATATAGGTATCTACATATTTATTTGAGACGGAGTATTGCTCTGTGGCCCAGGCTGGAGTGCAGGGGTGCGATCTCAGCTCACCGCAACCTCCACCTCCCACGTTCAAGCAATTCTCCTACCTCAGCCTCCCAAGTAGCTGGGAGGTAAGTGCCACCACACCCAGCCAACTTTTTGTATTTTTAGTAGAGACGGGGTTTCACTGTGTTAGCCAGGATGGTCTCGATCTCCTGATCTCGTGATCGGCCCACCTCAGCCTACCAAAGTGCTTGGATTACAGGCATGAGCCACCGCATCCGGCCAGGTTCTTCGTTTTAAAGAGCTGGAAAACTAAGTATCTCTTCCAAATGGAAATATTAAAATGGATCTTCTTTTCCTGCAAGATGCTGCAGTCTGTTTATATCACAGTTTACTCAGAGCCTGCTGGTAAGTCAAAATCCCACGGTTATTTTAGTCTGTTGACACTGCAGTTACGTATTTCACCGTGTGACATCATTACAGTGTAGGAGTGAGATAATTAGGGGCCCCTAAATAAAGACTGATTGATGGTAACTGGGTACTTTTTCACAGAATGCTTTTATTTATTTATTTATTTTTTGAGGCAGAGTCTTACTCTGTTGCTGAGGCTGGAGTACAGTGGCGCAATCTTGGCTCACTGCAACCTCTACCTCCCGGTTCAAGAGATTCTCCCGCCTCAGCCTTAGGAGTAGCTGGGATTACAGGTGTGTGCCACCATGCCTGGCTAATTTTTATATTTTTAGTAGAGACGAGGTTTCACCATGTTGGCCAGGCTGGTCTCAAACTCCTGACCTCAAGTGATCTACCCACCTCGGCCTCCCAAAATGTTGAGATTACAGGCATGAGCCAGTGTGCCCGGCCCCAGAACACTTTTTTTTAACATGTACTGTACAACATGTGTGAACCACACTCTAAAAGAAATGTGGATCACTTTCTTTTCTTTTTAAACACTGCGTATATTTAAGGTATACAACTTGATGTTTTGATATACACATACATAATGAAATGTCAAGCAAATTATCCTAACCATCACCTTCCATAGTTACCTTTCTGTGTGTGTGAGATAAAGAACACTTTCAATTAAAACACTGGTTGGAAAAGAAATACACACTTTAAAAACATTCCTTCACTCAAAATTCACAATGCTTGAATAACTTACTAATCTGTTACATATGCCTATCCTGATGACGCTGGGTTTTTTTTTAGG